ATAATAACTTATTAAAATACTTGCATTTATTGCGCACTATTGAACAACTGCCAAAGTTGCTATAGAATATCAGTACTATATTGCTATAGGACTGTCCCACACTAAATAGAAATAACATCTATTAGTAATAGTGAAAGCCTATTTATAAGATAGAAGAAAATGCACTGCGTGGTGATTCTGAAGTATATTTATTAACTACGACGAGATTGAGTAGCCATAAAAATACTGCCATCAGACGTTGGTTAAATATCTACGTCACGATTATATCTATCAGAAGCCTGATCATAACACCACCAATGTTATAATGATCTTGCTGACTGGATTGCAATTGAAACTCATAAATCATATTGAGCAGAACTTAAAACATCTGAAGACTAGGCTGTTGAAGTTGAAAGAAAACTTTTTACTAGTAATCGAGTAAAAGAAAGCTTTGATACTTTTAAATCTGCTCTATATCATATTCATCCAACTATCCAAATCGAACAATACTTAAAATGTGAAAAATTTGTTGATAAATATTATACTGGAACATATTTTTGAATGAATGGAGAAAAATCAACTGCTTGTGACAAATATATTAGTGAAAAATGATTAAATCTTCCAGCCTGTTCACATTGTGGAGACCATGATGAAGCTAGAAACATGTACATTACTGGAAGCTATGAGAAAAAATATTTTTGCACCTATGAACATCAATATATCTTTTGGTTTAATTGTGGAGGATGGAGAAGAACTAATAGAACAATTAACAAATTTAGAGAAAGAGAATCACTATTAGAAGTTTATGAAGAATGTGATAAAATCAGCAAAGCAATCTTATCATGATTTATGATGGAAGAAGACTTTGAAAATGAAATTGAATATGAAGATCTTATAGAAGTCTCTGCAATTGAAATCTTTCAATTCATATATTAATAATTAAGTCCTATCAGAAGATAACAACTTGCTCGCCTAGAATATATCAATGTCAAACTTTGTCAAGAATGTCTGATCCCTTGTGATAATGAAAAATATGATGATTGTGTACAATCTGAACTATTTGTCAAAATGGATAAAGGAAAATTGATTATAATCTTGGAACCAATTGAAGAAGAAGATTCAATAATTGAAGAAATGATTGAAGAAGAAAATATAATTTCTATTTCTGATCAACTTCCTCAAATTAAATGAACTGAAATTAAAGAAAAATTTGATGATATCTATTCTATCCTCAATAAAATTTCACAACAACTTAATGAATATTAGAAATAACAATCTGTTACTAAAAATACTGAATACTATAGAATAAAAGTTTATAATGATCAAGACAAAGGAAAATTACCAGAAAAAGCTCATTCAACGGATGCTGATTATGACATTTATTATATTGGAGAAGGATCAATTAGAATTCCTTCTCATTGAGTAACCCTTGTAGATATACATATTGTTATAGAAATTTCTATAGGGATTGTATGTCAAGTAATATCTTGCTCTTCACTTGCTAGACTTGGAATCAATATAAAAGATGAAACAATAGACTCTGGCTATACTGAAAATATTAGTATCATTATTCAAAATGACTCAGAAAAAGATTATATTATTTAATCTCAACAGAAAATTGCACAACTTGTATTTTTACAACTTGTACCAATTGATCAACTTAAATCAATCTTTACTAGAGAATAACTTGAACAATCTAGTTATGGAACTGATAAATTTGGATTAACTGACTATCAAGAAGCTCAAACATATTTTTTTGAAGAACAACATGAAGAAAAAGTTATTGAACAATGAAATTATCAACAAAACAAGAAAAACTTCTTATTAAACTATTAGAAGATAATGCTAATATTTTTGCAAGTGAATTACATCAACTTGATCAAAGTACTTTAATTCAATATGAAATACATACTGGAAATAAATCACTAATTAAACAATGATTATATAGAACAACTCTACCTGATCAACAATTTATTTCTGAAGAAATACAAAGAATATTGGATGCAAATATTATTCGAAAGATTCTGTATTGATTATAGAAAATTAAATACAATTACTAAAAAAGATGCATATCCATTACTCCGAATTGATGAAATGATGGATTCACTTGGAAATGCATACTGGTTTTCATCAATGGACTTAACTTCTGGATATTGGCAAATCAAAATGAAAGAAGAAGATAAAGCTAAAACTGCTTTCACTTCCAAAGAAGGACTTTTTGAATTTAATATTATACCTTTTGAATTATGCAATGCTCTAGCAACTTTTCAATGAATAATGGATACAGTACTTGGAGATTATAATTGGAAGTTTGCCAATGTGTACATTGACGACTTGAATATATTTCAAAAGATTTTGAAGAACACTTAGAACATCTCAACAAAGTATTTTGCCAAATTCAAAATGCAAATTTAAAACTCAACCCAGAAAAATGTAACTTTTGTCGAAGAAAATTACTATTTCTTAGATATGTAATAACTGAAGAAGGAATCTCTCCTGATTCTTCAACTATTCAGAAGATAAAAGACTTTTCTCTACCAAGAACTATCAAAGAATTAAGATCTTTCCTTGAACTTGCTGGATATTATAGAAAATTTGTAAAAGAATTCTCTTAAATCACTGCATCACTTTTCAATTACTTCGAAATCAAGAATTATTTATTTGAACAATGGATCAAGAAGAAGCTTTTCAACAAATCAAACAATATCTTACAACTGCACTTATTTTAATTTATCCTGACTTCACAAAGAAATTCTATCTTTATACCGATATCTCTAACTCTGAACTTGGAGCTGTCCTATTTCAGAAGATAAAAATGGAAGAGAACAAGTAGTTGCTTATATAAATGTTGCTCTAAAACCAAATAAACAAAAATGTGGAGTCACTGAAAAAGAAATACTAGCAGTAGTATGGGCTGTTAGACAATTTTGACATTATATACTTGGAACTATATTTGAAATAATAACTGATCACAACGCTTTAAGATGGTTATTCAAAAATCAACAAAGTCATTCAGCTAGAGTAAATCGATGGATTATGTCTCTTATGGAATATACTTTTATTATTACCTATCGACCTGGTAGAAAGAATCAAAATGCTGATACCTTATCCTGAATGTATTCTAATGATCACTAGAAATAATTCTCTTCTTAACAACAACATGGACTTAACAACTTATTACAACTTACAACAATTTTGAACAATAAAATGTATCCTATAGGATCAATTGCTGAACAACAACAAAAAATACAAAATCATTCAAAACATTTTTTACAAATAGATGGAAAATTATATAAAATTAATAGAAGAAAAGAACCAACAACATCTCTTAGAGTGATTAAAGAAAATGAAAATGGAAGTTATTTTAATTAATTTACATTCAAATTCACTATCTGGATACTTTGGATTTGAAGAAACTTATCAATGAATTGCAAATAGATATTGGTGAACTGGTATGGGAACTGATATTAAAAATTATGTGAAGACTTGCAAAATTTGTCAACAAACTGGTGAAAGAACTACTAGATAATCTTTATATCCTATCAAAATTGAACAACCCTTTGACAGAATTATCATAGATTTAGTTGGACCTTGTAAACTATCAACAAATAGAAATCAATATATTATTATAGCAATTGACTATTTTACAAAATGACCTGAAGCTAAACCAATATCTGACAAGAAAGCTATTACTATTGCTAAGTTTATTTTCAAAGAAATAATCTGTAGACATGGATGTCCCAAAGAAATCCAATTAGACAATAGATCAGAATTTGTTAACGAAATAATCAGAGAATTATCAACAAATTTGAAATCAAACAGAAATTCTTCTCACTATATCATCCACAAACTAATAGAATAATAGAATGATTTAATAGAATATTGTATATAATACTACAAAAATTGATAATAACACATGAACAAAAATGGAATACTTTAATACCAGCTGCTCTTTTCACTTATAAAACAAATCAGAATTCAATAACAAAGCATGAACCATTTTTTTTAACTTATGAACGAACTGTTAAATTATCAATAGAATTAAAAATCTCTATTCAACTAGAAACAAATTTCACTGAAGAAGAAAATCTTTACAATGAATATATTACATAGTAGATCAATTATCACAACAAATAATAAAAACACAACAAAATATAGAAGATAAATAACTACTGTTACAGTTGTAACATAAAAATTGTTAATTCCAAAAATAGTCGAAAAACATAAAATATTTAAAAATATTCATATA